ATTATAAAAATGAGTACAAATAAGAACATGACTAAAAAAACCAAAAGTAAATAAACAAAACCCAAATCAAAACAAAACAGCAAAACAAACACATAATAGTAAGAAAAAGAAAAAACAAAAAAAGGGCCAAAGCCCCAGTCAGAGCAAATTGTAAAAATTATATAGTACTGCTATTTCTATTCTCTATTCTAGAAATAGGTCTATATTATATGTAAATGTAATTTGATAATAGAGATGTCAGTATTTAATTTCTTTTCTATCAGTTCTATAGCCAGCCTTTTTACTCTGCTTAAAGTTACTCCTAATTTCAGAAAAGGAATAATTCTGCTATTCTCAAAATAGATGATTTCTATAGATCTTTCATAGGGAGTATGCTAAATTCCCACTTCTTGTAAAAACTTCTATCAAAAAACTAAGTGAGAAATATGATAGTAGTGTTCGGTTAGCAGGTATTCTTAAATTTCTAGTGAGTATGTTGAAAACTTGCTTATTGTTCTCCTATAAGGCCTATTATTTTAACTTTGTTAACAGAAGCCAAGACTTCTACTAAAATTTGTTATACAAGGGTGCCTCCTACCAGTTATCTTATATATGTGTGCTTTTAGTTTGCTTGCTAAATATATAAAGGAGTCCGGTATAGAAGAACCACTTTGACCTTTATAAAAACTGTTATTTGTATAGTAGCCTCTTCTACTTTCTTCAATAAGTTTTCTGTTTTTGTTGGTGTGAAATTCAGTACAAGTGATCATCAGGGAGAGTTAAATTATTATTTTTGTTATAATTAAATATTTTATTTTATAATATTGATCTTTTTTAAAACTTTTATTAATTTGTTACAAAAATTTTTTTATTCAATTTGATTTTTTTTTTGAATTACAAAATCAAAATTTAGAATTGATTTAGTTAATATAGGCTTAATAATTTAACTGCTAAGAATCGAAAACAATATAAGCCTAACAATTACATTATGGTAGTAAAATTTTTATTGAAAGCAATTTATAGTAAATGCCTAAAATATTTAATTAATGATAATTACATATATTACAGATTAAAATTTTTAAAGCCGTTACAAACAGAAAATGCTAAACTATATTTTTGATATTTCTGTTATAAAAACACCAAAATTACCGTTTTGGTTATCAAAGTGTATAGAAATATAAGTCTGTAGCTTTACTTTAAACAATTAAGCTATAATTTATACAGAGAGTTACCAAAATTCCAGATTAGAATATCTCAGAATTATGATTGACAGGGCCGGAATTGATTAATTATGCCCAAGATCACTAAAAGTTTTACTAATAAAGTCATGACATACTTATAATTTTGGTCCAAAAAATGGTTGTCTTGTATTGCTAAATGCTGGTCTAAATTCCTGTAAAAATAAATATTTAGCTATAAAGTCAAAACTACAAAAAAAAATTTTTTTTAATACATATTAGTGGTGAGGCCATGCCCTATTATAAAAATTTTTAGGAAAATTCTATTTTGACCTGGGTCAAAATAAACCTTAGCAAAATTTTAGGGTTAGTGCGGGCCAGAATTACGTTGATGCAGGTCAAGGTTTTTTAATAGAAAAACTCAGTCGGCATTAACATAATTATGGCCCGCACCTAAGAGGGTCATTTTGACCTGGGTCAAAATAGAATTTCCCAAATTTTTATTATTAGCACATTTTTATTTTTCGTATAAATTTCGATATGGGGAGATTTATGCAGGTCAGACCCCAAAAGTTGGTTTAATCATTTGACTTAAGAAATCACCTTTTTTGTACTACAAAAAAAACAAGCAATTTTACCAAGATTGGCCAATCATAATGCACAATTTGGTGTAACCCTATATGACGTGATCAGTAATTTTCTGTTTGTTGTTTGTCTAACCAGTTCAGGGTTGGCCAAATTTGTTGTCTGGCCCAAATTATACACTTAATTTTGCCCGAAGTGGTATTGTTACACAGCATTAAAAAAATTGCAAAAAATATCGATTTACATATAATCAACATAAATCGATATTTTTCACGATCGATCAGATCATTTAAATAGCGATAACGATAACGTAATCGTATTATTGTGCACGGTATGTCATGGAAGACTTAGTCAAAAAAAACGAAATGTCGTCTCGACATGTAACTCCAATGGAGAAAATGTTTGCAGCCTGTTGTGGTGCTTTGCTGACTTCCCTTTTTAGTAAGTCTTTGAATTTCTTCTTTATAGTAAATTTGAGTTTTTATTGAATCTTTCTATGTTACAATTATTAAGCAACTCCCTTCGATCTCGTCAAAACTCGATTACAATCCCAGAGTCTTTTCAAAGGTTCGACCGTGCCAAACTCAAAATCATATTCTCCCCTAATGTCATGTTGTCAGGAAGTCATGTATTCCACACAAAATATGCACCGGGAGTTCTTTTGTCGCTTCGATCCACGTATACCAAATCAATCAACACTAAGTTGTGCCGTTGCAGATACAATGATACCCAGTAAAATCGCTGCCAGACATCAATTCAACGAGCTTAATGGCTTTTTGGTGAGCATCATTTTATTACAAGCTACTTGACGATAATAGATTTTACGTTTCTTTTCACTTATAAATCATTACTCGGCAATAATATGTTTTTATCAATATTTATCGATATTCATTAATATTATTAATATTAACGAATGTCTATCAATATTCATTAATGTTCATCGATACACTTATTCATTAATATTCATTATTAATGTTCATTAATATTCGATAGGATGGCATTATTAAAATCGTTCGTTACGAAGGAATTACGTCATTATGGCGAGGACTTTCACCTGGAGTGTTAGTTTACTTATCATCTCTATGAGTTTTCATTGGTTTTTCTCACTGACCTTTTGATATATTATTATAGAGTAATGTCTGTTCCGTTGACAGTAATATATTTTGTTGGATATGATTCTATTAGAGATTCATTATGGAAACATTGGAAAGGGAAATATTCTGAAACATATTCACCGTTGTTGGCTGGAACCCTTGCAAGGAGTAAGTTTATTATTATAGTAAAATTTTTGCAAGCTTTATTTTTTAATTAATTAATTAATTTATTAATGATATTTTATGTTTTAGCAATTTCGGTCTCAATAATATCACCAATAGAATTATTTAGAACCAGGATGCAAGGTCCAGAAGGCGTAAATGGTTTAAAAGATGTCATGAATGGTGTGCAAAATATGGTCAGAAAAAATGGTATTTCATCGTTATGGCGAGGTTTGGAACCTACATTATGGAGAGATGTTCCATTTTCTGGTATAATATATTTACTTGTTATCTATACTATTTAACTTTTTCAATTTAATAATTTTCATTCATACTTACAATTTAACATTTATTTTAAGCCATATATTGGACTGGTTATGAAATAATAAAAAGAAACTTTAGTAATCATTTGCGAAACAAAAGCATCGATGGAAATATAAATAATTTTTCTGTCGCATTTGTTAGTGGTGCTACTTCTGGAATGGTTAGTTAATTTTTTTCATTATTCTTGATTTTATATTCTTGTAGTCATATATATTATAAATATCGATATTACTATTTATTATTTTTATTATTATTTTTTTTTTTAGGTTGCAGCAACATTAACAACTCCTTTTGATGTGGCAAAAACTCAACGACAAGTGACTTCAACTTCAAGTATGTAAATTTATAATTTTATGTATGCCGATTTTTTTAAGATCATGGTAGTTGAGTTTACTTTTTTTTTTTTAGTGAAAAATCATAGTATGTTTAGAGTTATGCAAAGAATAGTTCGTGAGGAAGGATATCAAGGGTTATTTAGAGGTATGTTTAAAATTATTAAAATATAATTGATACCAAAAGTGAAAAAACAGAAATTCTAAATTTAGAATTCCTTATTTTTCACTTTGCGTCACTTATATTATTAAAATAATATTCTTTTTTTAAAATTATTAAATTATTAAACATAATAATTTCATAATTAATTTTACAATTAATTTCATAATTATAATTAATTTCATAGGTGGAGCTCTACGAATAACCAAAGTTGCAATAAGCTGTGCCCTTATGATATCAACTTATGAATCATTATCCAAAATTTTTTAGCAATGTAAATATAATTGCATACTAAAAAAAGTTTATAATAAAGTTTTATGACTGATAAATGATTTATGAAGACCTTTTGTCTTTAATACAGTCTATCATACAGTATACTATGCAGTATAATTTTTTTTTATATGTATACATGAGTGTCGTCAAGGAACAACCCGTCATCGGGCTTTCAATTTTATCTTGTACTTGAGTCCGACACAAAATACAATTGAAAGTCCGATGAAAATTACGATTGGTTCGATTGGTTCATACTTTGATGTGCATAACACGTGATGCGATTACGAATAAATTACGAATCAGTGTTCACGCAATCTTTCATATAAAACTGCCTTCTTCGGCCGTCAGTTTTTCAAGTACCTTGAAAGATCGCACTTGCACGTTGACATAATGACAACCAAGGTAGAAATATCAAAAGGTGGCTTCTCTTTTGACAACTACCGTAGGTTTGTGCAGCAAATATAAATTGAAAATTTTTGAAATCGTTGGTTAAAAAAAGAAGGAATATAACGATCTTGCAATTATTTTTTTGTTGCAGAAATGCTTTCCTTGAAAAACAAGGACTTACTTTACCCAAAGCGACTAAAACGGGAACCACAATTATCGGACTAATTTTCAAGGTTATTCTTGAAAATCAATTTATAATAAATTTAATAAAATTTTGATAGTTTGATCTTTCTTTTCATATTCTTGAATGCATTCATTTCTTTAGGATGGTGTTATACTTGCTGCTGATACACGTTCAACTAATGGACCAATTGTAGCAAATAAGAATTGTGAAAAGCTTCATTACCTAGCACCAAATATGTATTGCGCTGGTGCTGGTACAGCAGCTGATACCGAACAATCTACTGCTTTGATCAGTTCTCAATTGGAATTACATCGATTAGCGACTGGAAGGAGTGCACGAGTTGTAACAGCAGTGACAATGTTGAAGCAAATGCTTTTTAGGTAAATATGATGTTGATGTATATTTATGACACACATTATTATTATATATGATATTATTATTATTATATATGATATTATTATTATTATTATTATTATATGATATTATTATTATTTTTATATATTATTATTATATGATATTATATAATATTATCAACATTAAATATTAAATATGTAAATATTTAAGATATCAAGGTCATATTGGTGCAGCGTTGATAGTTGGTGGATATGATGTAACTGGACCTGGTCTGTTCAACATACATCCTCATGGAAGCACGGAAAAATTACCATACGTGACCATGGGTAGTGGTTCATTGGCAGCGATGTCTATACTTGAAAGTAGATGGACCAAGGATTTGGAGGTTTGATTTTTTTTTATATATTATACATTATATATTATACGCATATACATATATACACATGTTGTAAGTGGAAACGAAATTTAAGTGGATTCGGAATTTTTATATAAAACCCGCATTTTTGAAGTTAGTTTTGTCATATATACACACTAACCTCAATTTAACTAGGAAATTCCAAATCTACTTAAACCCATTCCCACTTACGATATATATATACATATATTTATAATAACTATAAAATAACATTATATAACATTATATAACATTATATAAAATTATATAAAATTATATAAAATTATATAAAATTTTATTATATTGGGTATTAGCGGGATGAAGCCATTGAATTAGCCAAAGATGCTATTGAAGCTGGTATTTTTAATGATCTTGGATCTGGATCGAATGTAGATGTTAATGTAATTGAAAAAGATAAAGTAGAAATCTTAAGGAATTATTCTAAACCCAATGAACGAGCACAAAAAGAACAATCTTATAAATATAAGAGAGGAACAACCGGTAAATTTATTTTTCCGATTAATTCTATTAAAAATGTTTTATTAGATTTTTTTTATTAAAAAAAAAAAATTTTTTTTATTTTTTATTATAGCGTATCTCAAGGAATCTATTAGAGAGTTTATCGTTACAGAAGGTGATGCTATGGATATTTCGTAAATGCCTCATAAAAAAGAAATATAAAGAAATATAAAGAAATGTAAAGAAAGATAAAGAAATATCTTATAAAGAAAAGATCTGTTAACATTAAATAGTATTGTTCATGCTTTTAATAACATTCCTATTTGAGAATGTTGAATTGAAATAATTTTAAAAATATACAATCAAAAAAATTATTTTATTGTCTTGAATCATAATTTCCGAAATTTCCCAAATTTCCCAAAGTTCCGAACATTTCAAAAAAAAAAAAAATCAAAAATAGTGAAAATTTTGTTAACTGCAGGTTGACTTGCAGGTTTTGTTACAATTGTTTGACAAGTATTTATAAAAGTATATAGCGATCAATGTATACAAAAAAAAATCCTTGCAGCATAATCGAAAACTATAAGAATCCATGTGTACTACAGGAATTATCTCAACATAACTAGTTTAGAACTTTTTTAAGATTCAATCGGATTAACAGATAATCAGACATTGGTTGTTCTTAAAAGTTGAAGTTCATTCATTTTTCTTGAAACGAAAGTTGATCTCCGATGACATCATCATACATGTTTACAATTTGAGAAACAATGACACATTACTTTGAATAATTAAAAAAAATAATTATATTGTGTAGATTTTGAAGATACTTTCAATTTTTAAAAATGTGTGATACTATTTATTTCCTCTAAAAAATTCTTAAATTATCAAACTTGTTACTTATCTCTTTTATAAAAACTCGTTTTATTATGAGATAAAGACCAAATTTATAATCAATATTATAAAACGTTTTATTGTTATCTAAAATAAAAAAGGTAAAGTTTTAACGTTAAAAAAATTGTAATTATGACTCAGTATAGTGATCATCCATTTTAATATACATTTATATAATTTAAAATAATTATTTAATTTTTATGCATGATCGCAAAACTTTTTTTTGATAATCACATAAGTCTAAAGTGATATTAACGAATGTACTTACGTATGTATAGTACGTATGTATAATACGTACTTAAGTATAGAATAGAAAGTAGTACTATTCTGTACTATAATAGTACGTACGTATAGTATGTATTGTATATATTGGTATGGCCAGATGTTATTACAAAAATTTGAATCCCGATGAAGTTTTAATATAAATATGGTTAGAAATAATTTATTTTTATTTTTTTTTAAACGGAGAAATAACTCCCGTGGTACAAATAAATCTTTAGAGTATTTTGTGATACCCGAAGTTTTTTTATCTTTGGATCATTTAAAAAATTTTAATTATTAGCATTTACACGAATAAGAATTACCGTAGATACATATTTTATTCTAAACTATAATGTAGCATTTATAATGAAATTGTTTAGCATTTATTTAGCATTTATGGTTTATACGTGCGTAAAAGCTTTCTTTTACTTATAATTTTATCGTAAGGAATCATCTAAGTATTTGTAAGTTTAATTACGTATGTACGCATTTACGTATGTAACTATCTCTATCTGCTATGTATGTACTGTACATTATTAATCCATGCAACCAATCAAAAATCTACCGGTAATGAAAAAAAAGATTCATATTGATCTCGTGTGTTTAAAATATATATATATATATTGAGAATAATGAAATAATGACGAAATTTTGAGCCAAAAAAAGACAATACGTGTGGCCAAAAAAGAGAAATACGTGGCCAAAAATGAAAGAATAAATAAATACTTTTTTAAAACTTGATAAAAAGATCATTAGCATCACATGAACAAGAGTTAAAGGCATTCCGGGCATGACCGAATGTATTGTAGATTCAATTTACCCAACGTAGGTTTTATTTCTATCAAATTTGTACAGTATGTAAATCGATATTGTAAACAATAATTAGTAATGAAAAAAAATCGAATTTTAATTACAAATAGAAAGTCATGAAGAATTTTTTTCTAACCTTGTATAGAAATAAATGTATAAAATAAGTTTAAGTAAATCTTTAATCTAGAACTTTCATCACGGGGCCCTCCGAATACAACTTTAACCGAAACTTGTTTTTCATTACAAATCAAGGCTGGATTTCTAAAGAGAAGAATGGAATTTATTAATTTTACATTTTTTCATGAAATTGATGGATTATCACAATTAAAAGTAACTATCGCTATGAAGAAAGTAAAACAATCATGATAAGATCATTAGATGTTGTGTAATGCGTGATAATGATTTTTTTTTTTAAAAAAAGGAAAAACTACTTTATATAGAGCTATTTTTTTCTATAAAGAAGTTGACAGTTTTTTTTTGGAGGTCCGTGACGTAATCTTGATGGTGGCTAATAAGAAAGAATGGGGTTTTTTTAAATAGATATTCCACATGGAATATTACAATGCCGTGGCTTGAAACATGAAATGCCACTACACACCCCCTTAATTATTTGAAAAGCAAATTAAAATGAGTCATTATGATCTGATTAATCAGATTCATGCTAAAAGTCTTTACATTTATACATGTTTGTTTATATACTTACGTTAAACACATACGTAAATATGTACATAAATGTATACGTACGTACATACATATGATCGAAAATTCCTAAGAAAAAACATACTGTAGTTTTTATTATATAAGTATAAATAAGTGGCAAATCACATTAATGTTGCATGAGCCATTGTGTGGCACATCAATTACAATCCACACAAAGTCGTGTAAACTTCTTTTTGGAACAATCCATTCAACATATTCAACATATGTTAACGCAGATCAAATGAAACAAAAAAAAAGTGATATAAAAGAAATTCTTATCTAGAGTAACCTTACTTTATCTTTTGTAATTTTATTGGATAAACCTTAAAATAATTTAAGACAATTGGATTCACAATCGGACTGGCTGGTTTACCCTTCCCCGCCAAGCATTTTAAAAGAAGGGGTGACACGTTACACGTTCCCCAGAGTAGGTAGCCGCAGTTTCCGCAGAAATAAATATGTATGCATGTAACATTTGAAATTGAATGACTCATAAACACAGTCAGTCAAAGACAGATAAGATGGATTTATATGGGACAAAATAAAATAGAGACGGTCAAGATTCAATACCGATAACGATAAATTGATCCATATCTGTATATATATATATATTTATTTATATATTTATATTTATTTGTATTTTATATGTGTATACGTATAACATTATGTAGATTGTGTAAATTGTGTAAATATGTGTAGATTATGGTAGATGATGTAGATACGTGGACAAATGTGTGTCGTAAATATGTGTAGTATATCAGATATATGTAAATATGTAAATATATATGTATAGTTAAAGTTTAAACCTTTAAAAGGTGGCCGGTTATGGTAAATAAAACTAGGTAGTCAAGTTTATCCGGATCAATGATTCCAAAGAAGAACAATCCGACAGTCCGGATAATATTAATAGATAGGATTAATAATAATATTAATAATAATACATATCGATATTAATAATAATAATATTATTATTATTATTAATATTACATTGATAACATTAAGTTGCTTTATGGACAAAAAAATTTTTAGCTTGCATAAGTGTAATGATAAGTGTAATGATAAAGTGTAAGTGCAGAACAGAATTATTCACTAATACATATATACATAACCATGTAATCAACTTACGCATATAATGGTAATTGATTCTTTGATTTCTAAATCTGTTGAACAACGTCGGATCGATTCGGAAGATTAAATACTTGGCTTGCCAAGAATTATATATAATATAGAATGTTGTATCTTACTATTAATGCTAATAAGATCGAAGTCGTCTATCAAATAAGATAAACTTGAAAGAGATACATAAATACGTTTTAAGTGATCTTGAACCCTTGCTGTTGAAATTTACCGCTCTGTCGGTACTTCGTAATCTTGTTCCATTCTTGTATATTCTTGTATATTTCTTGTACATTCTTGTGTACATTCTTGTCTACATTCTTGTACGACTAATCCAAATCCTGTTTGAATTTTAAAATGCATGATGATCCTCTATAACATTATTACTTTATTTAAAACCACACGTGCGCGGTTGCCTATTGTAGATCTTGTCAATCAAAACTATACTAACTGTTCTTTCCGAGACGGTCACGTGAAACGCTGCTATGAATGTCAGATTTTTTTTTCCATTTTTATATGAAAAGTGCAGTGATGAAATGCTGATAAGATAACGTAAATTTGTGTGCCTAAATTTACCTGATGCTTTTCACAGGTTCACAATAGAAATATATTATAAATAAAAAAAATATTATGCTAATACGTAATAAAGAACCAACGGTTACTAATAATATACTTTTATTACACTTTTTTATGGTCCTTAATAACGGAGAGCAACTCCGATAAATTTTGTGTTCAAACCGGATATTTTAATCGGTCACTGTGATAGACATTGTGATAGACGCTGATAGACACCGTGATAGAAAAAATAATAAGGATAGGAATAATTAATAATAGGAATATTGGAATATTAGGATAATTAACAATAGGACTATTAGGGAATATATAGAAATAATATATAAATAATATAATAAAGATATATATAAAATATATATAAAGATATATAGAAATGTATATAGAAATAAAAGAATAAATACGTAACGAATAAATAACATAATAAGAAACTCATTTAAAATTCATATCAGATTCTTATCACCATAAAAAAAAATACCGATTATAACTTTTTAAAATCACATTCAAAAAAAGTCAAAGATAAACTCCGGCAATTTTTATCAACAATTAAAATAAATTGGATTTATAATCATGCATTACGTGTCAAATGAGATTCCATTGACTGACTGTAGTTCACACGTAAATGCACAAGGATAATCATTTAAAATTTTATTGGTGCTTTACGCCAATGACTGTTTATCCGTAGTGCGTCAAATAAATAAATAAAAGTTAATAATGGCATGAGGTCTGGATGCAGGGAACTCGTTTGACCTCCTGAATCGGAATTTGAACCCCGAATGCATATGAAAAGAATGATATGTGGAACTTCTTTTTTCCCTCTTTACATATTTTACATATTTTCCGTAAATATCTGAATAACATTTCAGCCATTACATCGCGTCATTCACACAAAACTATCTCTTTGATTTATATCTTTTCTTATCCAAGATTTAATCCAAGAATTAATCCAAGAATTAATTCGTAACATTAGTAACCAATTATTGACTTCTTTTCAACAATCGGAATTTATCTCGGCATTTTTTTGTGTCATTGTTTACCATTCACAAAAGATTCACAAAATATTTCACTACTAAAGTTAAAAGTCATGCCGAGCTGCGGTTTCTCGAAAATCACTGATTAGAAGTTGAATAATCCCCTATATGTTGAGTTTTAATTTACAAAATCCTTTTTTTGGTACCTTTTTTGTACCATTTTGTACTCAAAATTAATTTATATAGTGTAATCTAAATATTTAAAACATTTAATCTAATTATTTATATTACATTATTTTGGAGCGGAAAGAAAGCAACATAAATAGACTCCAAAATCTCCTTTTTTTTCTACTACACCATCAAAGGTTTTCTTTGCCTTTAACAAATAATTTTTTAACGACTAAAAATTTATATTTTATCTTTTAAACAATTTTATTTTTACTTTTTATTGTTTTTTTTTCGTAAAAAAAAAAAAACAAGAAAAAAAACAAAAAAAAACCACGAGTAAGTTTGTTAGTGAGTTCGTGGTAATATTTATATAATATATACCACTTTTTTTTTCTCGTTCGTCTCGATTGTTCGTTTTTAATATTCAAAAAAAAAAAAAGAACGAACAAATTCATAAAAAGAACTTTATCCTCACAAGAAAGGATTTTAAATAACTTGATTCATTTCATTAAAAAAAAACCTTTATTATTATTTTAAACTTGTTTTTCGTGAACTTGGATCTAATCAACACTAAAAATATTTTCGTTGTGGATACAAGTCCGATAAACGACTTTCTTAATCAATCTCAATTTATGTCTGAAGAAATTTATCAATCATATACTCCTGAACAAGTAATGGTGGTAACCTCTCCTCACTTTCAATCGACGATTTCCAATACCGACAATTCTTTTATAACTAATCCTGAATTTCAAGACTTTACTATTTATTCACAAGAAACTACTTCTGAAATTTTGAAGAATGGTTTTTACCCAAACATTCATAATGTTGTTCCTCAGGCTTTTGTTGTAGACGATTGTACTATTGTCGATTCCACTTTTAATAGTCCCCTTGATCGTCACATAGAATCATCACCAATATTAGAAAATTCTGGTTACACCCAATTGGACCAATCGATTTTGATTAGAGCTTCGCCACACGGGAATTCTATAAACACTCCATCTTTAAATCTTCATTCAAACAACGTCTTCACTCCTCATTCATCCCCTTATACTATTAATACTCCTCTAATAGAAGACAATACTTATACAGTTAATACTCCTCTAATAGAAAATAATATTCTTTTAAATTCTCCTATACCTTATAATATTGGAGTTTCTCAACAACAACTATTTAACGAGACAATTGGAACTCCGGTCTTCTCTGAGTTGGGTACTCAAGTTCTTGTTACGCCTGTTCCTACTCCTTATTGGGACGATCCTAGTTGCTCTAATTTTTCGTCTCTAAACACTACTCCTTATCTTGCTCCTCAAACTCCTGACACTCCTCTAATTGATCACCGTGTTAGTTTAAAGGATTCGGTGTTATTCGATTTCAACGATTTCAATTCTAAACAAATCGAATTTTTTTCTCTATTCCCTACACATAATAACCCTGTTTCATTTTGTAACATGGCTTCAATTACTCCTGATGCTGAAAAGAAGCCTGATATTTCTTCCGAAGCTGCTGTTGTACCTGGTACCCCAAGCAGTGGTTCCATTTCTACTTCCGAAAAATCTCCTTCATTAGCTGTTCCTGAACATATTTCCGAAATTGAACCACGTCCTTCTAACATTGATTCTATTGACGTTAATAATATTTCTGGATCAAAATCTCCAAATCATTCTAGTGATTCCGCTCATACTACTCCTGCAAATACTCCACGTTTGGTTCCTATCAGACCTCGTGAATCTGGTGAACATTCCGAACAAGTTCGTCGTAGTAAACGTCAAAGAAGAAGTGTCTCACAAGATATCGATGATGATGATGTTGAAGATGATGGTGATGACAAAAAATATAGTTGTCCTGAATGTGGTCGTGGTTTCAATAGAAAATTCAATATGCAAACCCATAGAACTACCCACGATCCTAATCGTGTTAAACCTTTCGCTTGTGAACATCCAAATTGTGGTTCAAGATTCACTAGAAAGCATGATTTAAAGCGTCATATTAATGGGATTCATAAGGGCGAAAAGGTTCATGAATGTTCGGTGTGCCGAAAACCTTTCTCCCGTAAAGATGCTTGGAAGAGACATAATGCCACTTGTGGGAAGATGTAAATGTTTGACTATTTTTTTTATTTTTTTTTTTTTTAAAAAAAAAAAAAAATACCCCACTTCATTTGTTTGTTTTGTGGTTAGGAAAAAACAATTTTGAAACGCAGCGTAATTTTTCCGAGAATAAATATTTTTTTTTGATGGACTCTTGCCAATCTTTTTTTTTTTATCCCGTAGTTGTTATGCCATAGTGATCCAAATTTATTATAAAATATATTTTCTTTTTTTATTTTATTTTATTTTATCTTTATTATTATTATTACTATATATATATATTTTTTTTGCGATGTAACTTAAGTGATTTATATCAAAAATTATATCACTCATGGCAAAAAAAAAACAACTTTCTTGTCCAAAAAAAATTCTCGTTTCAAAAAAAAATTTATCTGCATCCCGGCTGTGTTTGTGTTCGCAAATAAAAAAAAAAAAAAAACAAAAAAAAAAAAAAAGAAATGCGCAAACAAAAGGGCCGTGTACAGATTCCGATAGGGCTTTAATTTAAAGGCACATATCATCGACTTTGCTTGCCTTTCGCCTTGCTTTCCGTTGCGGTTATAGGACGTCGGATTTTGTTCTCAACAATGAAAGGAAGAACGTTGCGATGTTTTCTTTACAAGTTCTTTTGGGTCCCCCTTTATTTGATGAAAAAAAAAATCATTTAAAAAAAGGAAAAAAAAAAATCTTTTTTTTTTTTTTTGTTTTATTATATAACGATTTAGCATTATTATTATTATTATTTTCTTTGTTGCATCTTTATATATATCCGAAATTATTTCGGAGATTTTTTTCTTTTTTTTTTTTACAAATGAACTCTATTTTTTTTTCTCTTAACATATCTATTTTTACTTGATTTGATATATTTGAATTTCTTTCCCGATGAAAGAAATCTCTTTTTTGGAGGGAATTTTTTTTTTTATCTTTATCAATGGGATCTTTTGAAATTTTATTTTTTTTTCCCCATTCGCATTCTTATCGTTTTTATGATACTTCCTCTTTACCTAAGTTGGTTTTATCGTACATTTAGATATATATGATTGATGATTTAATCCGTTAAAAAAAAAAAAGTTATCGTCGTCAATGAGAAAGTAGCTATTGAGAATGATTTGTTGTTGTTGTTGGTGGGTCTAAGTAAAAAAACGAAACATGATGTTACGAAAAAGATTTTTTTAAAATATGGTTACGAATCACAATCCTTTTTTTTTTAAGTATTAAAAAATTTATACACTCGAATAAAACCATTCCCTTTTTTTCCTAAGATTATATATTTCTTTTTTTTTTTCCTTCTTTCTTTTGTATCGTTTTTAAATCGATCGATTGATTGAATTGAATCGAATCGAATTGAATTGAATTGAATAAAAAAAAAAAAAAGAAATTACGTTTCTAAGTATATATCATTTTGTGAATTACATCTGTGTTTTTATCTAAAAATTGATTAGTTTCGTTAATATCAAAGGTATTATCGTAACTGAAATGCTGCGGACTGCGGTTAATGTATTCGTAATAAGTTTTTACGAACGAATTAGTTCTACGAATGAATTGAATCAAACTTTAGTTTGAGTGTAAAATTTTTCAAAATTAAAACCGTTAAGACTGCATTTTAACAGGTATGAATTACGATAAAAGATTGTTAAAAAAAACCTTGGTATAATGTTGCGTGCGCCTAAATATGAAGGTTGCGCAGTAAGATAAAGTAAAGTTTATGAATTTACATAACTCGAAACGAAGTCAAAGCTTAATTAGAAAGTTTTGTTGTACTTGGTACATTAAGTACGTTACTTGTGATAAAACAACAACTTGACAAAAGAACATACGTACTCACCATACATGGTTAATGTTATTGGTCAACATCCGGTATTTATCTATAAAAAGAAATCGGTTTTCTATTGGTTTACTAAATAATTTAGTTTTAAATTGTTTATTATACGTATACGTATTTAATATTGATACGTATAGTTTAATCTTTTTTTTTCAATTATTTATCGTAACGGTTAAAAATGTTTCTTATTAACTAATTTTGTACTTAATACGTTTTTTTATTCCGTTAATTATTAATATTTGTCCTATTAATAAAGATAAAAATTATTAATTATATAATTTCAATCTTATGTATGTATAATTTTACTTCGTAACCATTTTTTATACGTATTCAACTTTTTTTTTATTAATTAAATGTAGTTAATGTTTAAATAATCTAATTAAGTTTTAATAAAATTTATTAAATTTTTTAAATTATTAAATTTTAAAATTTTAAAATTATTAAATTTTAATTTTACTTACATTAAATTTATATAGTATATAATAAAATATACAGTAATTAATTAAACCTTGCTTTTGTACGTATATATATTAAATATTATATTAGTTTTTTTATACAGTATAATAATATTATTGTAATATTTTTTTTTATTTTGAAAGTCTACTAAACTTATTTTATTAAGGTTATTGTATAAAATTATACAATATTTATTTTAATTATTTTATAATTAATATTATGTAACTGCTTCTTGAAGTGCTTATATAAATCAGAATAACAGATTTGTATAAAAAGATATATACTAATATTTTATAATTTTTTTTTTTTATTTATATAATGTTCAGATAGAAACCTTTTACATATAGAATCATAAGTTCTAAAATTAAAGATTTCTAAACTACATTTGTGCTATAAATTGGCACCCAATGTGACATTACACTTCTTATTTTTTGTGAATGCTATAGCTAACTATTTTAAATTAGGTTTTAGCTAGAATAGGTTGGAAAAGACCTTTAAGTGATTGTCTGAACATTATTAAATACAAGAAGTTAGTGAAAAACCTTGTGTAAGCCATTTGATGATAAAAGAGTTAATGTTTATAGTTTGAGAAGAAATTGTTGTATTGTTTGAAGGATTTGGTAATGTTGATAAATAAATTTTAATGCATTTAGATTTTGATGTAATGTTGCGAGATATTTCCCATTGATGTTGATATATGTTGCGAATAGACCAAAGATCTTGATAAAACTAATTTAATAGATCACTTGAAAAGAGGTGTAATAACTTAGTGAAGTGGATAAGTTGTCAATCCTCCAAGTGGTAGGTTGGAAGTTCAAAACCTACTGATAGCGAAAATTTAAAAAACTACCTATGTTACATCAGTATATATGGGCATCTGTGCAATACTAGAATTATACAGAGAAATGCAAACTGGCATTAGGTGGTGCAAACACAAGACAAGTCCTTGAAACTGGTACTATGGTAACAGCTATCTATCGATCAGGTAGGATCAGTATCTGTAATATGGTTGCACCAGATAACTGGCAGGTCATAGGCATCTGTGGTTATATAAATTTGTGAACTGGGATAACTAGAAGCCCATTTGGGAAGACCCGAATAGAGAGATAACATGGATCTTCGACAGTACTACTATAAAGGCTAGACCTAGAAAACAGATATCAATGTAGAAGAAATCAGACAAGCAAGAACCTCAGATAAGAGGTACCACCAACCAGATTGCTAGAAGTTTTGAATCAGAAGAAAAGAACCTTGGAGGACAGACCCTAGGATATCAGGAACAGGTCACAGTCCTATCAGGCTATCTGGATTGAGAGTCTGAAGTTGAAAACAGGAGTATACTAAAGTACTAGAGATATGCTAAGAAGTCAGTGCTAGGATTTGGGTGAACTCTGCAATGGCGAGTCCTGTTAACAAGATACTAAATGTGGATAGTTGGTTAGCAAGGAGACCTTCTGAAGTCCTATAGTCAGGTGACATATTCTGAAATATATAACAGCTTGACAGATGTACAAACAGAAAGGTCATGGTTAGGTTAGACAGCATTTAGGTATATGGGAACTTGTGTGCTATTTGTTAATATAAGTATAGGGATCAGAGTGTTTAAAATAGGTAATCTCCTAGTAGATTGCAGGTATAGCAGTTAGTGTAAAACCTGCTGTGCAAGTGAACTACTTAAATTAGACAACCAAAAGTTGTACATGTGGCTAGTTGTATACTTACCTTGTACAAGTTATGTAATTATAATTAAAATACAATAAAAGCAATAGCTGCCTATAACTATAGCCTTAGTGAAAGCAAAATAAAAAAATAAAAAATAGATTATTTGAAAGCTGAAGTAGAAGAGCATCAGTTTGTTTATTAATAAGTGCTTTGATATTTTCATAAATAGTAAAAGAAAAGCTTTCTGTAATAATATATAAAATATGTTTGAATTGAAAATTTAGTGTGTTAAATATAAAATTTAAAAAAATGTTTAATAAGATTGTTGAGATTATATTAGTAATTTTTAGTAGTATTAGAGTATTTTGTATTGAATTTTTAATTGATTGTAGAATGTTTGTAGTATTGCTAGAATATAAAAATAAATGAAGAATATTTTCAATATTTGTATAGTAAGAGCAATTTGGAGTAGTATAGAAATATGGATAATGGATATTAAAATTTTGTATAATAAATAAATTATTAGTGAAAATTTTAATATGGAAGGAGTATTTTTATAGATTATTTTCGAGAGATGTGATAATTTTAAATTTTAATAACTATTTAATGTTTGTGATATTTTGAAAAAATTTTAGTTTAACTATTTGACAATTTCTTAAATAGTTATAAAGTTTTTGATAAATATGCAAACTTTAATAAAGATTAGATAGTTATTCTATATGAAATAGTGTGAGGTATTAAATTTTGAGTTGTTAATTTTGAGAATATGTTTTGTAGTTCCTTGTTTGGCAAATGAATCTGCTTGGTTGTAAAAAGAGTCTGTAAAGTGTAATTTTATTTTATAAAGAATAGTAATAATGTTTTTGAGTTGTTTAAAATAGTTAATATAGTGAATAATGTCCTAATTTTTAGTTTGTATAGGGTTAGAGTTGATGACTAAGTTGAGATTTTTGATTGCAATTATATTATCGATATAAATATTTAAAAGAATGTTAGAGAGAACTGCAAATAAGAAGGTAAGAATTGCCTCAAGTTCAAAATAGGTGGAGTCAGGATAAGATTGTAAAGC